ATTTACCACCAAATAAAAATATGGTTATAACCACTATAACCACAACTAAATGACATAAAGCCAGCGGTAAAGTCACTAATCACTATATTGAGCAAGGAAAGAAGAATTAGAGCGATAGATTCGATGTAAGGTCCACTAGAATTACGTTAACCATTATATGTTGTATACGAGGACTCGATAATCTCTATATCTATTTCACCTAGTTTTGCTACCAAACTATATCACATCCGAGATTAACTTAGTTTTCTAAGACATCTTATATATTGACTGATGTATACAGTATAAAGAGAACCGCAGTTTTATAAACTGATATTAGGCATAAAGGGCCTAAGAGAAATAACTACTCATTTTAGACATCAAGAAAAATGTTATCAGGCTATCGATATTTATGGTATAAAATAAACCAGGATTTTCAAAATTTTATATTTGGTTATTATAAGGGGGCTAGCGAAAGTAGTTTCCCAATTTCCCCAATTTCGAGACAAGGGTACTTTATTATCAGAGGAGATGATGTGAATTTTATTAATATATCTCATATATTGACCGATATTTTCTGTCATAGGTACCTTTCGATAGCTGGAGGCTTTTTGAAAGTGTTCTGACATAGCTTGAAAGCCCTTCTTGTGCAAAGTTGTATACCTATATCATCACTGCTGCTTCATTTATATACTGTAAAGTGAAAGAATCAGATTAAATGGAAATTTGTGTTATACGAAAGGAAGTAGGCATTGTTGCACTTCGCTTTATCGCATTTTCACACAGTATGAGGGGTGTTAGAAGGATTTTCTCCCCGAAGGTTTGCTTTACATAGCATTAGTGGTTTGTGAGATATGGACATTAAATCTATTAAGGGATGTGCCACACCAACTTTTTTATAGTATATAACCCCCATATATGTTTTCTTATTTCTATACTCCGTAATATTTTACAGTTTTGTATCACAGTTTGTTGCTTAAATTTAGCAATTTATATTTATTCGCTTAACGGCGTTTTGTCGGCGGAACAACGGTGCCATTTGCTTTACCAACATTCTCAGGCCAAGAAACACGTGTACCAAGCTTCATCAAGATCTCTCAATTTTTGCTTGCATTGACAGCTGGACATACAGACATCCGGAGTTAAATCCTAGATTACTTAGATTGTATATACTTGTATATTTCTATATACATATATCTCGATAAGTTTTAGGTATTACAAAAACCAATCATGCAACTCGAGAATTCAATTCATTTTCTAATTGAAATATACTTGATTCCTTCTTATACAGGTAAAATTTTATAAATATTATATATTATATTACATTTATTTGACATATTTAAAGTTAAACAGATTAACAGAAATATGAACATACATATAGGAGTATTAATCATCTTAATGCGGTAGGTAAGCATAAATTCAGTGCCATGACTGACATTTTACCGAAAATATATGATTACCGTAACTCAGAGAATATTTTCCAGAGAAAATGTGCGCTTGACCACACCCATTCCCCATATAACGGTTATGTTCAATACTCCTATAATTGCGATAACTCACTGAATAAATGCGCCACAAGCTATAAATTTCACAACCAAGATGGTAGGGAAGAGCTTTATAGGAGCCGGTGTAAAAAACATTTTTAAGTGAAATTCTTTATCTCAGGAATTACTTGACATAACCAAATTTGGTGTCTGAGATTATCAAAACATCCACAAATCGGATGACAACCATGACTACTTCCCATATAACAAAACTATAATTTCCATCTGATTCTTTCACTTTCCAGTATACAAATTAAACATCAATGAAGTTATGAGAGTAAAACTTTGCACAAATACCCTGAAGCTATTGTTTTATACTCTCGCAACATGTTGCTACAAAGTATAATATTATAGTTTTGTTCACCTAACGGTTGTTTGTATCACCTAAAACTAATCGAGTTTGATATAGGGTTATGTATATATAAATGATCAGGATGAAGAGACAAGTTGAAATCCGAGTGAGTCCGTCCGTCTGTGCAAGTTGGCACATGTTTCTTGGTACCGTAAGACGGTTGTTATTGCAGATGGGCGTAATCTGACCACTGTCACGCCCACAAAACCCCATTAATCAAAAACGAATAAATTACCATAACTAAGCTCTACAATAAGATACATGTCTGTTATTTGGTATACAGGATCACATTAGGGAGGGGCATATGTAATTTTATTTTATTTTTTAAACTGGGTGTGGTCCTGCCCCCTAATAAGTTTAATGTGCATATACCCTAAACCGCTAAAGCTATAATAACAAAGTTCACCTCTATCGATAGCGTTAAACTGGTTGAAATCGGGTGACAACTCCGCCCACTCCCCATATAACGGTACTGTTAAAAACTACTAAAAGCGCAATAAATCAAGCACTAAACACGCCAGAGACATTAATTTTTATCTCTGGGGTGATATGAGATGACTTTATAGGAATCGCGTTCAAAATTAGACAGTGGGCGTGACACCGACCACTTTTAGGTGAAAACCCATATTATAGGATCTGCTTAACTGATTTCATCCAAAATAACATTATTATTCTTTCAAAATTAACGATAAATTAGTTAAATTGAGAGGTAGAGATGAACTTTGCTGTCCTTTGCATGAAGAAGCGGATAGTAAACTAATTTAGCATGTTTTTAGTATACTAGACTTGTCCAGTATTATTATTAGAGGCTTTGACAGAAATATCGTAAAAATAATGCTTGGCAATCAGGGGTGTTGTGGAATCCAAGACAGATTTGCATAGATGTCGAAATTGCAAACCAATTCTGATTTTCAATGGTGTCACAGAATGTGATTGGATTTTCGTCTTTTCGAATATATGCAAAACCAATATTCGAATCAGCTGTTTACTAATGTGACAAAACTTGGAAATAAATAAATTTGGAAGCGTTTGATAAATTTGAAATGCTGAATGAAGTCTACTCAAGTTTACAATGAGTTCCGTTATTTTAGTTTTTATTTTATTGGAAGAAAAAAAGCAAAGAAAAAATTAAAAGGAAAATATTATATTAAGAGATCACAGTAATCCACTTGATGCACCAGGCGAATCACATGAGAAATTGGGCTTGCATTTACTGGTATGCTTGTACATATATATACAATGTATGCTTGTATATATATGTACATGCTAACTTTACATATGTATATCACATTATCGACTAAAGACACATTTTGGGGTTAAATTACGTTTATTACGTTTCGTAAATCCTCCTTAAATATCTGGATTTTTTCAATAAACTCAATAATTATAACATTTTGTGTTTTATTCTTATGTTTCCCCTATAAAAATTAAGATAAATTAAATCGTAATATTAATTTCTTAACTTACATTTCAAATCTGTCAGCGACTATCCTCTTGCTTTGTTTCTGTAACAAAACCGATAAAATTGGTTTCCGTGACACCCGAAACCGATACAATTTCTGTTTCGAACGTCAAACCAATAATATCTGAATTCATGACACCTACTACATTTTTATATCGGTTTCAATTCTGATTTCGACAACTATCGGATTTTACAACACCCCTGAATATGATTCACTCAAAAAATCGGTCGTCTCGTATTTGGATGCTTACTGGGACCGGAAACCATGAAAGGTTTATTGATACTACAAAAATTTAAGAGCAACTCGGCGAATCATTGAAAAAAAGCTTGATTGGTTTTCATGCTTTCACGGGATGTGATTTGATGAATTTTTTATTAAGTAGGCGTGGTTTTAGTCTGATTTCGCCCACTTAAACACTGTAACAGGAATGTTGGAATGATGCTACCTACCGAATTTGGTTGCAATTGGTAAAGCATGTATGGAGCATGTTCACCTAAATTAAGCTTTTTTATATCGCCTTGTGTTCAAAATTTAATGTGTATGACGCTTTCAATTATTGAGTTATCGCACTTTTATTACTTTTCGACGGCGTTATAATCCGATTTCAACCATTTTTAAAATTTCGAAGGAAATGCTAAACATATTTGTTTTGAGCAAGTTTGGTTGATTTAACTTAAGTGGTTTTGGAGTTATGTACATTAAACCTACTAATTGTAGTAGTTACAAAAATATAATGTGTATACCTGCTCCGTAAGTAATGTATTATCGTCTGCCGGGCTGTTGTAACCGGAGAAAACGTTTGCCGTTTTAAAAATAAGCATAAGTAAAGAAAAATAATTATATGTACAATATATAAATCAGATGTGTTAAAATGCTTTCGAAATAATTTTTTTTTTTAATTTTCAACACGTCTGCAACGAAGTAATAACTAACCAAATGGTCTGCCTTTAATATTGGGAACTGCATTGTACTCTATACTGTGACCAAACTGCAGCTTTGTTAAAACACTTTCGAAACTAATCTAATTTTCGTACCCGTATTACCTTAGTGACGTCGTAGCTACATTCAATTAGTTTTAGGTGAAATAAGCAACTGATATGTGAATAAAACTTTTAGAATATACTCTGTACTACATACTGTAGGAATAAAATAAATATACATATATAAATTGTATTCATTATAACTACAACGATGTACTCGTATGTATTTCATTTATTTTTTTAATTTTAAAAATATGTAAACCAATCAAAAGACAATATTATACCGGTGTTAATCGAAAAAACGTCCAATGCTATATACCTACGAGTATGTAGTGAATAAATAAAAGAAAATATTTTAGATGTTAGAAAATATGTTCACTTAATATTCAACCGGAAATTCGAGAACGATTATGTTGGGAATAAGAGAGTTAGGGGAAGAACTGAACCAATTATATTAATTTTTTTACGATATCTTAATTTATATTATTACGGTTTGTCATTACAAAATTGTGAAAAACTGTGGCTTCTTAAATTTTTGTCAAATAAAGAAAAATCCAACCGCACTACGATTAAATGAGCAAAATGTTTGGTAACTGAGAGCATATACAAACTTTATCTTTTTATAAAAATTATGAGTGCATTTATTTATATTAAGATTGTAATATGATAATTTATTATTTCCCAGAATCGCATTAATAAATACTAGATTCTCGGTATTGCGTTGATGGCTGCAACCAAAATTATAGATGCTCCACGAAATGGACACGAAATGGCGCCATTAAATACTCGAGCGCGGGGCGATGGTACTCATGGAGTTACAATTGTTCTTACTGCTTCTCAGCGCAATTCGGTAAGCTCGGTGGAGGTACCGGGTGGCGAGCCCGATCGTGCAGCATGGTCTGGAAAAATGCAGTTCTTCCTCAGTATTATCGGATATTCTGTTGGGCTGGGAAACATTTGGCGATTTCCGTATTTGTGCCAACAGAATGGTGGAGGTAAATATATTAAATACATTTATATACCCATATGTACTTAATTGTGGAACACCTAAGTATGTGTACACTTAGGTGTAAGACTACTTATATTGAAATAAAAATTAAATTTTGGTAATAACTGGGTTATATCTGATAGCAGAAGCTATTTTGTACATATACCATATACAGTGAAACCTCCGTTAGGCGGTTAATACAACAAAACTTTTAGACAGGGTTCGAAAAAGGAGTTGTACTTCAAAACAAAAAGAAAAAAGTCTATTATAGTCATAGTGATGAAACTTTTGTGCTCAAAATCAATGGTTCACGATGCTTTGATTCCTTACGGGAGTGCAAGAAGAGCTGGGAATAAAATAAGAAAGAAACATCCAAGAAAAGCCACTTCAGAGAACGAACTTGCAGTTTGCACAAGTTAGCAATGCGAATCGCTTTTTAACATGCAGGCGAATTCACGAAAAAAAACGGCTAAACTGACTAACGAAGTATCAACAAGAACCATCAGACATTGTCTTCTTGAAAATGGACTACGAAGATGCATTGCAAGAAAAAAACCGCTGGTGTCAAAAAAATGTAAAGCGCCTTATTCAATTTGCAAAGGAGCATATCGGAAAATCCTTAGATTTTTTGAAACAAATCCTGTGGGGAATGAATCCAAGTTTAACATGTTTGGATCAGATGGAAAACAATTTGTTCGACGGCCGCTAAACAAGGAACTGCACCCTCGTTACACTTTAAAAACGTTAAAGCATGGCGAAGGTAGTATTATAATTTTAGCTGCCTTTTCAACGATTGGACGATTAACGACCCCAAGTATACGCTAAAATTGTTAAAACTCGGTTGTTGTCCGAAAACATTTCGGTTTTGAATTGCCTGCCCAGATTCCAGACTTAAACCCAATCGAAAACCTCTGGGCAGATGCCAAGAGGGGTTTCAAAAAGTAATCCAACAAAAATGCTGAGAAATTATTCCAAAATGTCAAGGAAATGGCAGAGCATATTAACTAAGCGATGTCAGCGTTAAATTCTTATTCTGCAGGTGCAAAGGAAGCTGCTCATTTGTGGGAACCGTCAATATCGGACCAATAGAGCATATATCTGTCATACACACTGAACGATTAGAATATATTGCTTGCAAGGATATTTGGCATGGATTATTATCTAAGGCAGTAATACAATCTCCAAAGAAATTGTTCAGATCGGTTCACTATAGCATATAGCTGCCCTATAAACTGAACGATCGGAAACAAGTTCTTTCAAGGAATATTTTTTACATGTGAAGGGTATTATAGCTTCGATGCAACCGAAGTTAACTTTTTTTTTTGTTCAATTATAAAATAAAACAATGTTTTAATATGAAAATGCGTGTCCCTAATTATGTGACCACCAGTGTATATAAAGGTTTAAAACTTTGGGGTGCCTAATACCGTATATATCGATCAATTTGTAAGGTATTTTAGCTAATATGGGATATATTATATTATAGTTTAGTTTATCCCCATTATAATTATTTCCGTTTCACTGGTTGATTTATTTTTCATATAGTAAGTATTACGTACTATGAACATGTAACAATCATATTGCTTATAACATCAAAATCGTTCGATAAGTTTTATGACAAATTTTAATTATTATTATTTAATGAATTGGAGGCATTATTTTGTGAAAAAGTATAAAATATTTTAAAAATTATCAGCCCCTTTTTGCGTTATTTTGGACGGTACTTTCACGGTATATACTTAATATGTTGTTAGCCAAAAATTCAATTTCGAATGATTCGATGCGTTGTTTTGAATTTTATGTGACGATATCTTGCTTATGCATTAAATTAAAACCATAAGAAATAAACAAACAATGATTTATACATGTGATAATTGACTCGACTGCAAATACTTATAATTGAAATTAAAGAATTAACATACATACATACTCCTGATAACATTGTAATGCGGCAGTTTAAAGAGAAAATCCATTTCCTGAAATTTATTGATAACATATATTCCTTTGTGGTGCGTCATACAATCAGGTGAAGTAATAATATACATCCATACATGAATGTATATACCTCCATATGTATGTATGTATATATTCATATATACCTTACATTCTGTGCTTCCATGAACGTATAATTTAATGAATCCTTCTTAAGAAATTGATAATTTTGCCATTCTAGGGCTCTATAGAGCCCTTAAAGAATAATTAGAAGACGACAAGATTGAACCACATAAACGCGTACTTTTCATATAACGCCTTTTTTAATTCAAAAATCTCAAAAAATTGTTATACTTTTTGAAAGTATAAACATGTGCAACTTCTAGAACTGACACAATCTCAATCTAAAATCTCAATGAAATTTGAATTTTATTTTGAGTGATGTACGATACTAATACGAAGGAACTGTATTCGATCCACGGTCTGCTTAACACCAAAAAAGCATATTTTTGCTATGAAAAGCTTATACTTGTTAATAATATAGGAAATATACATTTACCTATTTGGAGGACGGGGCTACTTAGATCACCTGTACCAAATTATTAATTTAGTGCTTAGTATGGCACTTTATACCCGCCCTTGGTTGCCAAGTAGCATTTGTAACAAGTTTCATTAAAATATGTAAATTTTTACTCAAGTTATAACTTGCACAGACAGACGGACAGACAGACAGTCCGGATCTCAACTCGTCTCGTCACCCTAATCATTTATACATCTATATATGTATATAGATAACTCCACATCTATCTCGTTTAGTTTTGGGTGATACAAATAGCCATTAGGTGAACAACACTGTTGCACCCCGTAGCAACATGTTGCAAGAGTATTAAAATTTTGCATAAGAATTCAATATTCATTAGTTTTACAATGTGATAAAACACAAACAGAAGGGCTAAAGTTGTCATGCGAACCAAATAATGGGAAGTTATTATTAAAAATATACAAGATTTAGACCAAAGTAGAGCAAAAGTATTGAACCGATTGTACTCATTTTTGACACAAGAGCCAAGTTTTATCTGAAAAATATTCTCTCTGAATTTCAGTAATCATATCGACTGATATTTTCGGTAAAATGTCAGCCATGGAACTGACTTTATGCTTACCTACCGCATTAAGATGATTAATACTCCTATATGTATGTTCATATTTCTCTTAATCTGTTTAACTTTAAATATCTCAAATAAATGTAATATATAGTATTTATAAAAGTTTACCTGTATAAGAAGAAATCAAGTATATTTCAATTAGAAAATGTGTTGAATTCTCGAGTTGCATGATTGACGGTTTTTGTAATACCTAACACAGATATACTTGTATGTATATAGAGTTATATATACAATCTAAGTAATCTAGGATTTAACTCCGGATGTCTGTATGTCCGTCTGTCAATGCAAGTAAAAATTGAGAGATCTTGATGAAGCTTGAACACGTGTTCCTTGGCATTATGAGAATGTTGGTATAGCAGATGGCACCGTTGTTACGCCGACAAAACTCCGTTAAGCGAACAAATATAAATTGCTAAATTTAAGCAACAAATTGTGTTACAAAACTATAAATTATTACGGAGTATAGAAATAAGAAAACATATATGGGGGTTAAATACTATAAAAAAGTTGGTGTGGCACATCCCCTAATAGATTTAATGTCCATATCTCACAAACCACTAATGCTATGTAAACCAAACCTTCGGGGAGAAAATCCTTCTAACACCCCTCATACTGTGTGAAAATGGGATAAAGCGAAGTGCAACAATGCTTACTTCCTTTCGTATAACACAATTTTCCATTTAATCTGATTCTTTCACTTTACAGTATATAAATGAAGCAAAAGTGATGATATAGGTATACAACTTTGCACAAGAAGGGCTTTCAAGCTATGTCAGAGCACTTTCAAAAAGCCTCCAGCTATCGAAAGGTACCTATGACCGAAAATATCGGTCAATACATGAGATATATTAGCAAAATTCACATCATCTCCTCTGATAATAAAGTACCCTTGTTTCGAAATTGGGTAAAATTGGGAAACTACTTTCCCTAGCCCCCTCATAACAACCAAATATAAGATTTCGAAAATCCTGGTTTATTTGGTACCGTATATCGATAAGTCTGTGAAATATCCTAATCAATTTCAGAGAACATCTCTTCCTTATAATATTTTTCTTGATGCCTAAAATAAGTAGGGCAGCTGAGAGTCTTAGCAAAACTAAGTTAATCTCGGATGTGATATAGTTTGTTAGCAAAACTAAGTGAATTAGATCTAGGGATTATCCAGTCCCCACATACAACATATAATGATTAACTTAATTCTAGTGGACTTTACGCCGAATATATCGCTCTAATTCTTCTTTCCTAGGCCAATATAGTGATTATTGACCTTATGTCGTCTATTCCGTTCAATATGTGTGATATTTCAATGAAATTAAGTAGTTATAACCATAGTTTCATTTGATGGTAAATACGAATTAAATCGGTCTAAGCCCTATGTGCCTAATATAATGAGTTGCTCCTTTGGCTACAAGTGGCCAGTATATCAAATTTCGTTCCGTTGGTTGAGTTTTTATCATACTTACATATATATCTCTATGGGAGATATTTTAACCAAATGATTGAGAATATGTCAATTAGTATAATGTCAATCGGTGAAAAAATTATGGCACTAATATGAAGAATAGAGTTTTAATACGGGTACCTGAAGCAAACATTAATAATGAAACTAAGAGGATGTATGACATATAGTCTTGAATAGAATATAATTAAATTGAGGTGTGCGTGCGACTTGAGGTTTATTGTGTCATCGTCTCTTACACAAGGTTCACTTAAGCCTTTAAGCTTTGATAAATTCCAGGATATTAGCTAGGTACTGTTGAATGCTACATAATCCAGATGCAGGTGTTTCAGAGCTTCTGGCTCCAAGTCGTAGAACAGGGGTGACCAACTTATTCCAGTGTGTGCGGGCCTCAAAATTAGGGTTTTTTTAATAAAATTTTTCATTGTAGCCAAATCGGACAAAATAAGA